AGAAGGTGGAATTAAAGACCTTTGGAACTGAAACACAAACAATGTTTCCTAATCAGTCTGCTGTAGTTTATCACTGTTTTTTTTAATAGATGGATTAAACTCTCCTTCTCCAAGTCACACTTCCTGCTCCCTGTCTTAGCAGGGACAGGAAACGTTTCTTTCTCCTCCTTCTGACAGATGGGAAATTTGCTATGTCTCACCTACACCTTACCTCAACATTCCTTTTTCAGGAGCCTAATCCTTTCATTTGTTCCTTCCAAAGTTTCAGACGTTGGTTTCACCTCATTCCTGAGGGCAGCACCCAAAACTGGAAATATATTCTACGTTAAGGTCTTCACAGTTAGTGGTGCAATAGAGAGATATATTTGAGTGATCTAGACACAAAAATTACACAAAATTATGGTTTTACACTCTTCCTCGGTAACATCGGTAGAAATAAAGAAAATTTCAAAGCTTTTCAACTTTTTTCAAACTGAAGCTTTCAAAACATGGGACAGAAACAGCAATATTACATTTTTAGGCCCAAGGCCTAGTCGTTCTCATTTTGTCCTTCTCAAGGTCGTTTAAGTCTTGAGACAACATGTATCTTCTAAACTACATCCTGTACCTCCATTTGAACATGGAACATCTGTAAAGGGGTGCATCTGCCTCGCAACAATGATTCTTTGCATTGCTTCTTGCTAATAACTTGCCAAATAGTTACAGTTTAGTTAGCAGGAATCAATTCCATTTACTATACTTTCACTTCCAGTAAGGATGAATTAGCCCACAGCCAGTAGTAACTAAACACCCTCATTGTTATTTTCTTTCTGTCTTTCTCTCTCTCCCTTTGTCTCTGACATGAACAGTTCAGTAAAACCCCACAAGTGGCTTTGCCATAGGGTGTCCTTTGCACCTTCACTCAGCCCCAGCCGCTCCTGATCATTTGAAGGAGCGGCTCAGAAGAAGGGGCAGCAATCCCCCAAGACCGGGGCTGCTCCAGGCCGCTGCCGGTGACTCGGGCTGTTGGAGGGGTGCTGGGGTGGCCTTTGTGACACAGGCACGGGGTGCCGGGGTGGCCTCTATGACACAGGCACGGTGCGTCAGGGCCCTCGGTGATGCGGGACCTTGTGATGCCCAAAGTCCATTGTGACATGGCAGAGCCCCAACCCCGGCTGGGGGTATATAAAGGGTTTGTGGGGCTCGGGTCAGTCCCGGGAGAGCGCCTTCCTGCACCTTCCTGCGCCTTCCCTTCCCTTCCCTTCCCTTCCCTTCCCTTCCCCTCTCTCATTCTCTCCTGTTGTGTCTATCAGGTTTCTTCGGGGGTGTTTTGGGCTCCACAGTTTGGAGCTGGTTGGTCGCTTCTAGGGTTGGCTTTTTTGCGAAGTGGGGTCGGGGGGGTTGTAAACCTTAAAAATTTACGACCAGATCAGGAAATAAAATCTTTCGTTTCAAAAATACATCTTCAGTGTCTGGCAGTTATTTCCAGGGGTTGGGAGTCAGGGTTTGGGTGCAGTGGGAGGTTTAACATGAAGAACCCACAGTCAGAAAAGAGGGTTCAAAATGTCTTACGGAAACATTGCCACTCCATGGGGAGCCCAAAGGTAAAGGAGCAAAGGTGGTGTGTGAACAGTGTCCTTGGAAAACTCGGTCCTGGAAGTGAAGGAAGCAGGAAGTAATAAGAGCAAAGACTAAAAAGAAAGATGATTTTGAACTTGTTCCCATTTTTAAAATAAAAATGCACATGGTCTGCCTGGGTAGAGTCCTAAAGGGTCAGATAAGGCAGTGCAGAATGGGCTCTTCTGAATCAGAAAGGAACACGAGAGCTCAATAAAAATGCCACGTGTTTTGAACCAAATAATGGCATATGCCTTGCTGGTGAATTGTGTTCAGTTATCTTAAAGGATGTCAACCAAGCAGGAGATCCTGAAGTGTTGCAAACCCTAGCTTAAGCTTTTTTTTAAAAAAAAAGAAGAAAGAGAAGAAACCCTATCTCATAAATATAGAAGAGATTCAGACCTTTGTAAACGTTTTTTTGGCTCACAGAAACCATATTTTTTTGTGGAAATATATGATACCCAAGAAATCCACAGATACTTGGCATGTTATAATGTATTCTATTGTGTATGTCTGTTCTAAAGGAAATTCAAGTTGTTTAAGGCTCCATTTTACACCATCTCATGCCATAATAACACAGTGCTCCAATCTGATGTCCTTGGTGTTATGTCCCCTGCACGTGGTGATCTGCTCCTGACTTCAAATTTTAGTTCTGCTCTGCCAAATTCTTTCCTGTTTGTTCCTCTGAATTATTTTCATTCATAATTTTGTATTTTACTGTACTTTCTCATTCAAGTATGGAATGTTTTTTCTCCCTGGTTTACCAGGTTGCTCTCATGCACATTTAAATTCTGTTTGAAAAGCTGCTGGGGACAGGAAAAAATTGAAACTAATTAAGAGAAATTAAAAAAGTTCTACCAGTCTTTCCTTTACTGGCCAAAAGGCAGGAGGTAAGTAGTAATTCCAGCAATGCCATTATAAAACTGGTTCAAGAGCCAGTTTCAGCTGCCATTGACTTTAGTAGGAATGGAAGAGGAAACTCAGGCCCTGTTTACTGCTTCCTGCTGAGTTCCATGAGACATTCAGGCACTAATAGCATTAGGTCAGTGACAGCATTTTTGTGAGATGTGCTTTGACACACAGAGGAAAAAAGAATATCTTCATAACATTACAGAGTCACAGCTAGTAAAAGCCAATTTTGCCCATTAATAACAGTGAAGAAGTGAAGATAAATGAGGTGTTATGCACAGCTTTGAAGCATAAAAAATTGTTGTAATGCTCACATTTAATTATAATTTATCTGCATTAATTTCTCTTTAGATACCTGACAAGACACTGTTTCATTTTCCTAACACTTGCTACAATAGTTAGCTTTTTATTTCCTGCAATAATTTCATCACTGCACTTCAAAAGCACATCTATTCCTTTCGGACCCAAGACAAATGTGTTTGTTGACTTTCAAGCTGTTAAAATTAGCCATAGCAGTGGATTAATATTCATTTGGAGCTGTGACTCCTTTCATCTATCTGAGTCTAGGCAGGCACAGTCTAATGTATCGTCTGACTTTTATGTAAATAAATATGCCTCCCGACTGCAGAGTTTGATGGCTGCTGTAGACCTTCCTGAACTTTATGGAGTTCTCCTAATGCAGCAGCATCCTTCCCCTCCTGTCCTCTGATAGCATAAATAGTCCTTGTTACAATATTTATCAGGAGCTTTGTTCAGCACAGGCTGGGTTCAACTCTCCAGCACTTTCACACTGCATCTCAGAGAGGCCCCTAAAATACTTCAAAAGCTCTGGTTTGCTAAAAGGTTGTGGGTTTATTTTCCCTCCTCACATTTTCCTATATCTGATCGCTGGCATTTAAGTCTTTAAAAAGGAAATATTTAAATTTTTTTTTTCTGTTTTTTCCTGTGTGTCTCTAGTTCTGTAATTTTCCTGCCATTTAACTCTCCTTCATAGCTCTTCCACTTTCATCCTTCATACATAAGTAAGAAGGAATTGGTTGGAAAGGAACATTACCCAGAATTTTTCCTGAACATGTGGTGGTGGAATTAATGTGAAGTAGCACTAATTTCAAACTTTTGAGATCCACTGGGAATATGAAACATTTTCCTGTACAATTGCTGCAACAAACAACCTCAGAAGAAATGTGAAATTGCATTGGATCCTCCTTTTATTGCTATCATTCTTTTCTCAGGACCTAGAACTTTAATTTAAATGCCGAAGTGGCTTTGTTCAGTAATGATGTTCCTTGGAATTCATGTATTCAAAATGTGTATTTTAAAGTGACATCTCCTTGTGTATTAACTTGAACAGAAATATCCCTTCACAATGTTGCTCCTCATGTTTTTCTTTCACTATGAATCTGAAGCTGATAATGCTTCACTGATATTTGCTCAGAAATATTGTCATTGTTTAATCTCCCATTCTGATGGTGGTTTAAAGAATGAAAAACCTGGGAATGCTTTTCAACACTGGAAAGCTTGCTTAGGGGAGTGCAGTTTTGTATCAGTGGGTAATCTGGCCCTTAAGATTTTTCCCCTGCACCTCTGTGATCACTCCTGGTCACAAAATGCATCTGTGCAAGTAACATCTGTCTTGATTCTTATGTCATATTTAGGTTTCTCCTTTCAGGGGTTTGCTAATCTGTGCCACTCAGCGTTCCACACAGTGATCAATTCCCAAATTCGGCACCTGTCTTGGTTCAAACCCTGGCCAGCCCCCAGCCCCAGGCAGCTGCCCCACCAGAGGGGTTGGGGAGAGAATTTGGGAGGTAAAAACTGGAGAATTCACGGGTGGAGACAATGACAGTTTAACAGGGGATACAAAAGCCTGTGCCCTAGCAGTAAACCCCCAAGGAATCAATCCCCTGTTTCCCATGGACGAGCAGGTGTGCCTGCAGCAGAGCAGGGTCACATTCTGCAGAGCAACGACTTGGAAAACAAACACCATTATTCCAAACATCCCCTTCCTCCTTCTCTCCCCCGTTTTCATACTGAGCACCGTGTCACATGGCCTGGAACATCCCCTGGGTCAGTTTGGGTCACCTGTCCTGGCTGTGTCCCCTCCAGAGCTCCCAGGCACCCCCAGCCCCCTCCCCAGCACTGCAGTGTTGGAAACAGCAAAACTTCTTAATAATTTCAGTTAATGGCTTTAATCAACGCCTAAATTAATTGTTTTAATGATTCATAACCTATATATATATACTAATTATGAGCTGTGTGCTATTCTTAAATTACTCTTAGCCAGCATTTATCAAAGTTGTCATGAGCTACTTTCGTAGGAGCACAGCTTGGGAAAAATTACAGAAACTTTAAGTTTTGATAAACTAACTCTGATATGCTTCAATGAACAAAGCCTGGGAGAGAGAGAGAAAGATGCATTGCTGAGGTTGGACATCTGGAATGCAGAATTTGTGGGCCACATGGGCATTTTGCAGAAACTAGAAGATGAGAGACCAAAAAGGACACAGTATACGCACTGGAAAACCCCAACCAGAGGAAAAAGATGCTAGAAAGATGCTAAAAAGACTAAAAATACAGACTAATTAGCATGAGAAGTGAGAAATCAATAACTGATAGCAGAGGGAATACTGATTAATGAGATAAGATTATGCAATTTAGAACCACAAAACATTAGTTTATTTGCTTGAGAAAAAAAATATATAAATAAGTGACAGAGTTCTGTGTCTGCATCTGCAAAAACATTTCTGAATTACCAACTCAGTGCTCATCACAATCCAAAACAGAACCCCACAACAGCCACTAGGAACAAAAGCTAACTCCACCCAGGGAAAACCAGCACAGCTCCTAATCCAGGGTTTAATTTTAGTTGGTTCTGTAGACTTCACTCCCAGATCTATAGTAAACTATTAGTAGTAGTAATAATAAATAAATAAGCATAATAATAATGATAATACATAAATATAATACTACTACTACTAGTTATACTAACACTACTACTAATTCTGCTACTAATACTTGTTCATTATAGGTCAATAATCTCTTCACAAAGATCTATATTCCTCAAATTTTCCCAAACAGGAGTGTGTCATTGTAATAGAAATATCATGAAGTTCATACCAGCAGGAATACCACCCTGACACCTCCAAAAAATCTGAAAGAGCCTTGGATAGATCCTAGTCAATCTGATTTTTAAATAATTGCTGGACAGTGGAGAGGGGGAAAAAAAATCACACTGCTTTAGATTGTTTTGTGAATAGATTTTCTTCATACAGATTTTTTTGATAGCATAATTTGACTTCACTGCATCAAGTTCAATGCTCTCCAATGAGTATAATTTCTATAGAATGACTAAACTCCTGATTTTGCAATTGACAGCACAGCTGGGTTGTTAATAATAGATCAGAAAAAAACAAAATATACTAGTGATAGAGAAAATCAAAGAGTAGCAAAGGCTGGTAGCAGGAAAAGTGAGGAATGGAATAAGCTATGGAAAAAGAAAGAAAATGGATATAAAAAAAAGGCAATGTCATACCCCACTCCCTCAAATGTGCTTTCCAGTGTTTTGGCATCTCTGTGCTTGCCCAGAGATAGCCTTTTCACCTTTGGTTGGTTTAGTACCTCCTGTATTTCTCCTCACTGTCAAGCTCTGTGGTGTGGGGGCCCCTTTTTCTGTCTTGCTTGAAGGGCCTTAATCGGATCTGTCTGCATTATTTATAGAAAAAAATGGTGAACTACGGGATGGAGGAAGAGTTTATTCCTTCCACCTCCATCAGGCCCAGTGGAACATGATTTGGAACTATTCTGGGAGAGTATTCACTGCAGAGGAAGAGAGCAGATAACAATTTTTCAGTTCCCTTCCCAAGTTCAGGGGGAAAATGTGGCCGCTTTCACCGAAGTGTCGAGCCCTGACTCAAGGATCAGACACAATTATCTTCCTGTCATTAGGTTATTGAAACCATAACTCTTGCTCCCAGGATTCTGCAGAGCACCAGGCTGTGAGTCTTTGCTGTAGCAGTCTGAGAATGGGGATGGAATAATTAATAATAATAAGAGTAATGGTAATAATCATAGTAACAGCAGTTGCTATTATTATTGTTATTATTATTATTATTCGTTATTATAATTGTTATTTTTATAATTATTATTATTAATACAAAAAAATCCAAAAAGCCCAACCAACCAATGAACCAAAAGCCCTCAAAGCCTGGTAAAATTTCTAATTCAGTAGCAAAGGGCAAAAAAGGGACCAGAAGGAGTAGTAACTTA